AAAATTTGTGTTGTCTCATTTTATTTTATGATTATTTTGGATGTTGGTTTAGTTTAAAAGTATATGCACAAGTATTATACAACATGTGTCTTACTTATACTAGAGTGCGAAGTTTTACTACTATATGTTCATTCTTTCTACCATATTATAGAAGGTATAATTCTGTGCAGCTTTTTATTTTTATTTTTTTATTTTATTTTATTTCTTGTTTACGGGTAATATCAATGTCACTAATTCATTTTTTCTTACAAAAATATTTTTGTGTGTGTTTGCAAGTATACACGCAAATACTATACAACATGTGTATAAATTATACTAGAGTGTGAAACATTCATTAGAGTATATGTTTATTCTTGCATATTATAAAAATTACATTTTTTTACAAATTGTGTGCAAGTTTTAGTTTTAAAATTTTCTTGTCATTTTATTTCTTTTTCAAGGGTAATCCTAATGGTAATAGTTAATTATTTATTATGTTTATTAGTAAACACTCAAGTATTATACAATATGTGTGTAAATTGCACTAAGTGCAAAAGCTGCACTAGCATATGCTTATTCTTTGCATTTAATAAAAGTGCAATTTCAGTGCAAGTTTGTTTAGTTTTGTTTCATGTTCTGTCCATGTCAGTAATTCATTCTTTCCTTGAATTTTTTGTTTAGCTTTTATTTCATTATTCTTCAAGGGTAATGCCACTGCCACTAATTCATTGCTTCTTAGAAAACTTCATTTTTGCGCAAATTCCACTAATATAGGCTTATTCTTGCATATTATAAAAGGGCAAATTATGTGCATATTTTGTCACTATTTGTTTTATTTATTTTCTTATTTAAGGGTAATACAAATGCCACTAACTTATTCTTTTCTAGAAAACTTAATTTTTGTCATTGTTTTAGCTTTTGTTTGAGTATATTAATAAAGGGAGGAATAAGAAGGCTAGAAGATGTATTGTGTTACACATAGATTCATCCCATTATTTTATTTTTTTAAGTTTACTTTGCTTAATTTAGGGCTAATCTGCTTCCTTGATTCATTTTCTCTTAAAGAAATTTGTTTTTCTTGTTTTCCGTTGTTCTCTTTTTTTGTCAGCTAACACCACTCATAGAGTTCTTTATTTTTTTAAAGAAACTTGTTCTTATTTATTTATATTTTCCTTCATTTATTCTTTAAGATCATACCACCACAAGTATTAGATTTAAGCAATTTTAACATGCTTCCTCTTACTCCCTCTTTTCACATGGACGATAAGAAGGTAAGAGTTAATCAGACCCACTATTTATTGCAATCAACGGCTCAGATCTACTTTGTACTCTTACCTTCATATGAAAAGGGCAGGTAAGAGGGAGCATGTTAAAAAACCTCGTATAATTATGCATACAATGTGGCGCGTATCCATCTTATGTCATTGGCTAACATGGACTATATTCTTTGGGCTTGGGCTTCACTACGGTTAATATAGCTGCATTAGACCAGATCAACACCGACTTAATTAGTTGGGCTTGTTTCTTCTTTTATTTGGGTCTCCAACTCAAAATCAACTCAAGTGGCTTTTGTTTTCAGTCATTTCTTTTGATCAAAGGTTAAACCATTTATTGGACACAGCTAAAAAAATGACTGGCCCAAATTAAATTTCGGGCGACTGAATATTAGTCGGTCCTTATATCCTCGACTGCGTTAGGTGTTGCTTAACTTCCTTGTTGCTGCAGGTTGTTCGGCACTTTGCCGGACAATTCACGGCCGGGCCAGGGATGGGGTTGGGGTTCTCTAACATCTTCAACTTGAGCACGCAGGTGACACACCTTGCGAGTCTTCACTTCTTAAATTTTACAGTTTGCTAGTTTAGGACCATATTAGCTCTAATTATGGAGATTTTTTCATGGTACCTTAATTTTACATTTTCTTGGCGCATGTACCTTAATTTTACTGGCTACTGCATAGGTGAGTAGCAAAATCTAACAGTCGATGATTAGATTGGGCATTTTAGATTTTGTGCTTTTTTTTGTTGGATTATAATACACACTGACCTGCGCCGCTGCATGTATACATTAAAAGAGTGTTATTCATTGATGGACCACTTAATTTGTGGTATGTTGAATCAGACATATATTTTGTTGTGGACGGGCCATGAAGCTCGCTTACATTCGTGAATTTGGTTTCGCTCCATGCTGCAGGTTTTTGGACAAGTGGCAAATCAGCTGACCAGCGGCCTACAACTACAGGTCGCCAACAACAATTCCGTCCTGCAGTTGCAGGTGAATCTTGTATGTGATTATCTATTACCCCAGCGCTAGCATTTCTTTTTCCTGGAGAAACGTGAGATAAACTGTCTTCTTTCGGTAATAGCAGATTATATACCTATTTTGCCCAAATTACTAATACAAATCATCGTGAATCATGAAGGCTTCCCTAACTAGTTTCCTTTTAGGAACAAAAAACTACCCTTTTTTTAGGTGACAAAAAACTAGCTAATCGACCAGTCTATAAAATGTTGTGGTGAAGGCATTGCTTGGATATACTCGGATTGATTCTTTAAGGTGAAACCTAGACTCTAACCTTTGGTGGTTGAATCCGGTGACGGTGACGCTCGAGCGTCGTTCCCTTCTTGAAGAAGTTACTGTTGAAGAACCTTGTGGTCCTTGTGGTGTCATGAGTTGACTGGTCTGGATATGGTCATTGTTGTAGTTTGTTGGTTGTGGATTTGATCACTTCGGAGCTTTTTTTTTTTCTCACTTAGGCATAGCTTTGGTCTTATATGACTTTGTTATTTGCTGGCGATTTTTTATGTGTGTTGTGATGTTTGGCTGTGCACATCTTAGCTATGCAGAGGCCGTGTGTGTGCTCATTCTAGTCATATTCTCTTGATACTTCATTTTGCGTAATAAAATCCACCCTTTATCAAAAAAGGCCACTTAGGGAAAATAGCTTCTTAAAACACACAAAAAACTTCCTCCCAAAATAACACACACAAAAAAAATATATTAAAATAATCTAAAAAAGAAAGCGAAGCTAAAAACAAATCTACTTGGACAGGGTGACAGCAACGACGACCACATTATTCAGATGCCTCCGGATCAGGTGTCTGTTAGCATGGATCATCCGATGCAACAGCTCTCCCGGGGCATATGGAGGATCAGCTCTCAACCCTGGTTATTGCAATAATCACGGCCTTGTACAAGCCGGCGAGCGGTGTTCTTTTCCGTCACCACCCGCTCGCATATTACTGTGCTCTCGCTGCTATTTTCGTCGCAGGAGTCGGAGAAACTCTTACTGCATATTGGTTGTCGTGCTCCCGCAACGCCAATGGGCGCCATTTCGCCGTCGGCAAGGCTGTTTGGTGGGCTTCCGTTGTGTCGCTTATCTTTGTACTTGGCATCGGCGGCTGCCGTGTCATCATGGGCTACTAATCATACGGGGTTAGCAATGAAATTCTTTGAAGTCGCACTTTGAAGTCTTAATTTTGTTTGACTAACGATGCTTTTTTGATCTTTTCTTAAACAGTGCACTCCATCAAGCAAGCAGAAGAACCAAGATGTAGCCTGTACAGAACATACAACCGGTCCAAACAAGGCATAAGAGTTGGATATGCGGCTTTTCTTGCTTGTTCTATTGCGGACACTTTAATATTTGGGCTTCTGTTATGTTGTTGAACAACTTTGTTTTGCCGTTTCTTATGAATGCTGATGCCGAATCAAGAAAAATTAGTGCTCTCGTCATTTTTTTATGCTAACAGATGTTTGATTTTATGAAAAAATATTTTTAATAATTTAGTTATAAAAAGAGCTAGATATTATGGGCACGAACCCGTGTAATTAAAAAAGCTCAATAATTCAAAAGTCACATTCAATTTGCATGTGGTGGGCAACGAGTTTAGTCTC